CCGACTGCAACCAATCAGCTCAAGGCCAACGAGTTCGGCGAATTTCTAGATGTTCGGTTAGATTTAATGCAGTAGATGATTTAACACTGAAGAACCGACCAAGTTCTGCAAACGATGAGCAATATAACAAATCAACTCTACGCTGTAGCTCTTAATTTCTAATTGTCTCTCAAGACCGAAGACGACTGCTCGGTTCCTGAACTGCTGCTCGGCGTACTGTCTACTTCCCAGGCTATAGGTTCTCCCTAGCCTCATGCGGTGCTGACGTTGACGTCGCCAATTCACTGAACCACCTCCACTAATTTATGCGAAAAATCTTCTCAGTTCCGCCACGGCTGTTCGTCTCCTAGTCTTCTCTTAAGAAAAGCTTAACGACCTACGCTCTTACTCTCATTCGAGGTTATATACAACGCCCTTCACTTCAATCAACTCTGGTTTTCTTTCATGTCGAAAATAAGCTTTGCAGCCAGAGTGGTGAGACGAAACATAAACCACTTAGGGCTGCGACTCCAATTCTCCGGATATGCCATGTGATCCCTGCTCCTTACTTTCTCTGAACCTGACCTTCCTGCTTCACCTTCCCTTTTCTATAATCTTTGCTTTCTCTACCTTTGTTTTTACTAACAGCTTCCCTTTACGCCTATCGCCAACGATCTCAACCACTGTTTCCGTTTGCGCTATCCGAAATGGACGACGGCTCCTTTTCGTGATCGATTTCTTCATCGTACTTTTTTGGACCTCAACTCGCACTTTAGCTGGCTTTGGTTTAATAATAATAAGTACTTTTCTGACCCAGTTGCCTTCCAACCATGAGTATCCTCGATCTTCCACATGGTGTTTTCTCATTGCAGACCGCCGCTACTGGCTAGAGCTGGTGGAGGTGGCGGTTCACTTGGTTGAACATGGGAATAGGGACGCCAGCTGTATCAGCGATGGCCTCGCACTAAATTACAGGGGAATCTAATCTCATGTCCTAACCATAACCACCTCCGCCCCCACGCCGAACTTTAACTCAGGACCACCTGTACTACGGCTACCTACTCCTGTATCCCACTGTTAGCTCAATGCTCCTCTAGAACCTGGCCTTCATCGCTAGGTTTTCGGTCCCGTTGTCACCGGTTGCAGGAAAATCTCTTTTGGCGGATCTCTGCTCTAATGGTTCACCCTTTTTCACTGTGATTATTCTCCCTTGCAGTTTCCTACGGATTTGTAAGTTGAGAAGCTCAGGAATATTTACTATTGTATGCTTGAGGCTGACTTCCAGAGGCTTTGGAGAGCTTGGGTTCTAATTATTTCCAGT